GTCTGATGATAATGATTATTGTTGCGCAAAGGTTATGTAAAATTACAAGGAGAAGAAATTGCTCCCTTTTTTTTTTTTTTTTTTTTTTTTGTTCCTCCCCAGATTTTTGCACTACGGCACCCACGGGAGAGGCGCGCCGCCCCCGGAGGCGCGGCGCCCCGAAGGCGCGGGAGGCCAGGGCGGGCTGCGCGGCGAGCGGGGACCCCTCCCGCGCCCACCGGGAGCGGGAGCTGGAGCGGAGCCGGAGCGCCTGCTCGCCGGCCGCGCACGGAGCAGTGTTAACGTACAACTGTGCAATGTATTACGTTTTATATAGAAATGTATTATGCCTAATGTGAGTACACTGGCCAGAAGTGTAAAGCTTTAAAAGTCATTTATATGAAATGTTTAATCTCTGCTGAGCTCTCAGTGCAAAAAAAAGAAAAACAAAAAAAAAAGAAGAAAAAAGGAAAAAATGAAAAACACAAGTGTATATTTGTACAAAACTTTTTTTAAGAGTTATACTAACTTATATTTTCTATTTATGTCAGAAATGTGGATAACTTTGACATCCAATAGTCTTTTTTTTTTCTTTTGGTTAAGCCAAAGGGCACTATATTTGCTTTTGTTATTTACAAAATGTAAATTTATTTTTATAGTGGGAATTTTTTTTTTTTTTGCATTCACAAGATGTAGCTACGAATCAAAATATTTTTTAGACTTTACTTGAAGACAAATCTGTTTCAATGGTTCCTGAGCCGGTCTGTACCACTGCCATTGCAAATAATGCCACAACTTCAAGAATAATAAATAAAAAAATAAAAGCGTGAGGAAACCTCTGCAAGGCTGCTTGGTGTGTGCTGTAGTGGCTCGGGTGGCAGAGCCCAGCCTAGCTCTGCGCTGTTTTGGGGGAGGGAGGGGGTGGGCTCCTCCCTGACCGCGGGGAACCCAGTGCACCCCAGCTTCCATCTATGAACCCCCTGGTACAACCCTTGCACGAAATTCCCAGGGGAAGAGAGGGTTTTTTGTTTTTCCTCCCTTAAAAACAAGTGTTCCAAAGTCCTGCTGGACTTAACCAAGTGTGAGGGGAGCTCACAACCTGAATTCAGCTTTTCTGCGCATTTTATGGTTGCTTTTAACCGTTTCACACTTTGTTGTAACACGATTGTATCTGCCCCTCCTTGAGAACCCGGCTGTGCTGTGGGTGCTGGGGCAGCCCCCCTGCCTACTCACCATTGGGGCTGGGGTCGCTGCCTCCCCTGCTTTGGGGCAGGCTGGGGGGTCACTGGTTGGGGCAGACCACAGCCCTGCAGTGCCCTTGGCAGGCTCAGCACTGGGGGGATGCCCCTGGCTTGGAACGTGGGCCACACCCCCATCACCCCCCTCCATCCTCTTTGTGGCCGTGGGCTCTCAATCAAAGCCATGGCTACTGCAGGGAAAGGCTTCCTGGTACCTCTTGCCCAAGCCCAGCCATGATTTACAGAGCAAACACACAACGGTGCTGGGAAAGGCAGCACTTCCAGCTTGCTATAAAAAATGGGAAAAGAGAAAAACAACAACCAGGCAAAACAAATAATCACAACAAACAAAATAACTCAGCGTTTTGGCATTCACACGTCAGTGGTGGCACTGTCACAGTCATGCACCCAGGGCACTTTGTGAGATGCACCCCAACCCCTTGGCCCTGGAGCAGGTTAAAGTGATAGGATCTGCACAGAGCTGGCCCAATGAGCTCAGGACATGCACCCCACACGGCATCCCAAACCCTGCACTGCCCAGGGATGGGGGGACAGACGGGGTCTGGTCCTGGCTTCAGGTGGTGCAAGGATTGGGGTGCTGGAGGGTACAGATAGGGAGCAGGTATATGGGAGGGGGATGGGGGTCCTACAGGCACGGGGACCAGCTGGCCAGATTTGTCCCTTTCAGACCCTGCTCCCCTCTCTGTCACCTCC